GGACTACCACGCCCAGCTGATTTTTTGATTATTGTAGAGATGAGGTCTTGCTGCCCAGGCGGGTCTCGAACCCGCGGGCTCAGGCAAGCCACTCATCTCAGCCTCCCAAAGGCGCGGGATTACAGGCTGAGCCACCGAGCCCGGCTGAGCACCTCATCTTAAAGAGTACCTGCATACTGAACATTTGTATACCTCACCCTGAATTGTACCCCACATCTTAAAAATGAAAATTTTTTAAAAAATAATTTCATTGTAAATTACATTTATGTATTCTCCCCCAATTTCTAGTTCTCTAATAAACCATTAACCTGCTGGGTAGTTTGCTAGCTTGATGGTTGATTTTTATTTTTATTTTTTTAATTCTGTTCTATAAGAATCACAGGAAATATTTTTATCTGGAATTAATATCAAGAAAAACTGATAATGATCCTTGAGCAGATAGTTTATTAATGTAACCATCTTCTACCTTTTTGTGTTTCCTTCTTTGCTTCAACTGGTTGACAACTCAGAACCAAATTTCAGCCAGTAAAAAGCTTCATCATGGTTTTGCTTTTATGTATTTTTTTAATTCCTAATTATTTTGTTTTTAATCCTTTGTTGAAGGAGAGGGTATTTATTTTTACATATTTTTTTGCATTTTTTCAGGAACATAGGGAATAAAAATAAATTCCCTTTTCATATTTTTAAGTGAAATATAAGAATAGAACTGGATTTATACATTTCTGATAGAAGGTACTTTCATTATATTTCCAGAATTTTTTTCATATTTGTATCTTTTATCTTGTGTTGGAAAGTGAGTTTGGCAAGGAATCATGATCAAATTTACTTTAAATGATTTCTGACCTTAACTCTTCTTAAGATATTCTTTAAAAGACTATCTTTTACATTTGCATAATGCTTTTTCAAAATGCCTTTTGTTTTATTATCTGTCCATCTTGCTTCAAGTCATACAATATTGCTGAGGGGCCAGTAATGTGGGATAATTAATCTCTACTTTCAGTGTTCTTTTTCTCTTATTGGGATCTGATTATTTATAAATAAAGTGTGAGAGAAGAAACATTTTTTACAGCGCTTAATCTCTTCATTATTGATTTCTTGAAAATTACTAAATACATATAAAAGGATATTTATATATATGGAGACACAGAGAATAATAGTAACAAATGCCATCACCTAGCTTAAAGAATAGATTAATGCCAATATCTTCACAGCATCTTTTGTTCCTCTTTCCAAATCTATCCTCCTTCTTACCAATAAAAAATACTTAGCAATCTTTAATTTTGTATTTATCACTTGAAGCCTTTTCATCATAGTTTTACTGCATATATATGTATTCTTGGTTTTAAATGTTTCTGAACTTTATATAAGTTAAATCATATTGTTTTTATTCTTCTACAACTTACTTTATTATTTTTATTCCTTAGTATTTTATTTGTGAGAGCCCATATTGTTGTGTATAACTATGGTTCCTTTATTTTCACTGCCATACAGTGTTCATTGTTTGAATATACTCAATTTATTTATACATTCTCTTGTCAGTGGGTATTTGTTCTTTTCTCTGTTTTTTTGCTAATAAAATTGTGCTACTGTAAAGATTGCTGTGTATATCTATTACGTATTTGACTTTAGTAGATAATGTCAAACTATTTTACAAAGTCATATCAAATGTTCTCATCAGTCTCTATCAGGAATTGACAGGCATTTTTTTAAAGTACTAAATGGTAAATGTTTTATGTCTTGTCACAGGTGCTCAACTCTACCTTTGTAACTTGGAAGCAGCCATAGACCATACTTGTGGCTGTGTTTTAGTAAAATTTTATTTATAAAAACAGGAGGCTGTTCCTCAGGATGTAGTTTGCTGATTTGGACCTAGATCTTTGCCCTAGCTCATACTATTAGACTTAAGTTATTTCCAGTATAGTTCAGATAATGTATATCATGGGTATTTTACTTTTTACTACCCTGATTATTAAATTTAGCATTGTTTTATGTTTATTGACTGCTAGTTATATCATCCTCAGTGTAATATATATGTATCTCTTTTGTTCAAGTCACTCTCACCACTGGATTGCTTTTTTTTTTTGAAAAATTGGTAGAGAGGACAGAAAATCTCCCACAGTGGGAGGGGACCCTAGAGGGTTGCTGGATTGCTTTTTCAAAAATAATTTTTAGGAGTTCTTTATACATTTTGACACTAATTCATTAGGTTTTTGAATTGTAAATATCATCTCCAAGCTTGTGACCTATCCGCATATCACTTTAGTGTATACTCTATTATTTTCATATCAAACTTGATTTTGATTAATTCATCAAATTTTTTTGAGGAAACAATATATTTACACTGCTGAAAAGTTAAAAACAATGGAAATGTGTTCTGTTTTGGAGGTATATTCTGTACTGCTATTCTTCACCCTAGAAAGTGTCCATTCTAACTAGTTTTGCATATCCTTCCAAAGTTTCTTTATGATCATACAGTTATGAATATATAAATTATTTTCTTCCTTGTTTATAAAGAATTTGGCATACCACACTCACTACTCTACTCCTTGCTTTTTAAAAAAATTTAGCAATGTATTTTATAGCTATTTTCAGATCAGTGTATAGAGAACTCTTATTTCTTGTAGATATATAATATTTTATTTTTTGAATGTCATAATTTATTTAACCATTCCATTCACTGTTGACAGTTAGTTGAGTTAGTCTTTTCCTATTGAAAGTATTGCTGTACAGATAAACCTTGTTACATATGTCATTTTATGTATATATAAGTTTACAGGATAAATTTCTCAAAGTGGAGTTGCTGTTGGGTGGAAGGTTAATATATTTGTAATTTTACAAATGTTGCCAAATTATTTTCTGTAAGGGGTATGCCATTTACTTGTCTACCAGTAGTCTATGAGATTATTTCCAGGTAGCCTTAATAGAACAGCATTACCAAGCTTTTGAGTTCTTGGCAACCCTATGTGTGAAAAATGATATCTCAGTATAATTTAACTTTTACATTTCTCATATCACCGAGGTTAAGCATTGTTTAAATTTAGATAAAAGCTGTTTGGTCTCCTTCTTTTTGTAAATGAGCTATTCATTTCCTTTGCTCATTTTTCTGTTGGGTTGTTGGTCCGAGATTTCTCATTGATTTCTAAGAACTTTTTATTGTTTAAGAAAGTGAGCCCCTTATCTGTGATCACAATTGCAACTATCTTTCTCCTTTTTTGTGTGTGTAGACAGTTTGATAAACTTAGCCATTTTGCACAGCCAACTACCACCACATTCAAGATAAAGAACACTTACTTCCTTCGTTCTATATAGTTTTCTCATGCCTTTTGATCTCTTCTAACTCCTGATCCAGGCAACCACTAGTCTGATTTCTGTCACTATGGTTTGGTCTCTTTTCGATTTTTATATAAATGGAATCATACAAGAAGTGGCCTTTTTTGTTTTACTTTGCTGAACATGTTTTTGAGATTCACATGTGTTGTATTTTCTTTTTATTGATGCGCATAGTAGTCCATAGTATTTACCATAGGTTTTCTATTCACCAGCTGATGGGTAATGATATTATGATATTATGAACATTTTTAGACAAGTCTTTGTATGTACCTAAGTTTTCATTTCTCTTGGGTAAATGCTTAAGATGGATGCCTGGTCATATGGTTAGTGTATGTTTAATGTTGTAAGGTACTGTTATACAATTTTATGAAGTGTGTTTCATTTTCATTTCATTTTATGAAGTGTGTTTTATTTTCATTAACAGTATGTAAGAGTTTCACTTGCTCTTTATCCTTGTCATCTTTTGATATTATTTGTTTTATTACTTAACTTTAGCCATTGTACTGGGTATCTAATGGTAGCTCATTGTGGTTATAATTTGCATTTCCCTAATGATTAGTGATGTTAAGCATCTTTCATGTGTGATTTTCTTTTCTTTTCTTTTTTTGGCTATTGTTATATTTTCTTTTGTGAAAAGTTTGTTCATATCTTTTGCTCATGTTTAAATTTGTTTATTGGTTCTTTGTGTTATAATGGAATTGTAAGAGTATTTTATATTTGGTATACAATCTCTTTTCATGTATATGTTTTACAAATATTTTCTCTCAGTCTGTGGTTTGTCTTTCTTTTTCTTTTCTTTTTTTTTTTGAGTTGGAGTCTCACTCTGTCACCCAGACTGGAGTGCAGTGGCTGCTCTCGGTCACCGCAGCCTCGACCTGCTGGGCTCCGGCGATCCTTCCACCTCAGTCTTCCAAGTAGCTGGAACTACAGGCGCGCACTACCACGCCTGGCTAATTTTTTGATTTATTGTAGAGATGAGGTCTCGCCAAGTTGCCCAGGTAGGTCTCAAACCCGCGGGCTCAGGCAATCCACTCACCTCAGCCTCCCAAAGCGTGGGATTATAGGCTGAGCCACTGAGCCCAGTTGGTTTGTCTTCTTCACTATTTTTCAGAAACCAAAAATTTTTACTTTTGGTGGTCTACGTTTTCACCTTTTTTTTTTCTTTCTCCTTTTTTTAATGGCTTGAGGTTTTTGTGTTAAGAAATCCTGTCTAACCTATTGTCACAAAGACTTTCTTCTATGATTTCCTCTGTAAGTATCATAGTTTCAGCTATTACATTTAGACCTGTGATCCACTTGGGGTTAATTTTTATGAATGTTGTAGGTTAAGGG